CAATGAGTAAAGCCCCTCTTCCTCCCCAGGGGAGCTCCCAGGTTTGGGGTGCCTGGGATGCTGCAGGGAAGTAAAATAAGCTGTTTCAGGAGCCAGTTTAGTTGCAGAGCTGGGAGTCAACACTGCACCCAGGGGGAATGCAGCCAGGGAATCCCTGGGCAGCAAGAAATCTGCCTCCAGGATTCGCTTCTCCTGCAGTTCAAGCAACAGCCACTCAAATAAAGACACTTAGAATGAGCAAAGCATTTCTACAGGCACTGGTGGAAGGGAGCAGGGTCAGGGATAGCCTGGAAAGCAATCCCTTCAGTGAACTGAGTGCAGAGCCTGTTCAATTCTCCCCCTGTTCCATGGGGAGCAGCACTTACATGATGTGAACCACCACGCCCATCCCAGATATGGCATCTCTGTCCACGGCGTTCAGCATGGCCTGGGAGATCGTCTCAAAGAGGTGGTCGGGCTCCTGGGGAACAGAAGCAGCACAAGTTGGGCTAAACACTGCATGGATTTGGTCCAAAGCCCCAACTGTCATCCAAGACCCTGCAGGACTTTTCCCTCAGGCTGTTAGACCCTCTCCCGAGCATCCTTCAGGATGGAGCTTCCCACGTATCCCAGTTCCCCAGGGAACACAGGAGGGTGAGTCCACGGATCCCAGCTGATCCCAGCCCTGGCTCACCATGTCTGGCTCCCAGAGGGACTCGCACATCCCGTACATCTGCTCGGAGCAGGTGCCGCTGACCACGAAGTCGTCGGTGACCATGGGGCAGCCGATGAGGTCCAGGGAGCAGATGAAGGGCTCGTGTGTCACGGGGTCCAGCCCGGCAATCACGGGCTCTGTGTAATAGGGGCCAAACCTGGGGGGAGAACAGATGGGAGGGACCCCCAAGGATCATCCTCAGCCCTCCCTGACAAGGGACAGGGAACAGGATCTGCCTGGGAGTTACCGTCTCTCGTAGAGCAGGTTGGAAACCATGCTCATAAAGGTCTGGGGCTTGATCTGCCTTCCCTCCTTCAGCTCGTAGAGATTCAGCCTGAACTTCAGTCTCTGGGCACTGCAAGAGATGAGAACTGGGATTAAAACAAGGCAGGCTGGTTTTCCTTTGCCCTCCACCCAGGCCTGAGCTGTTCTGCTGCTGACAGACACCAGCACCCCGAGGCAGGTGGTGCACACACACAGCCCTTCTTATATCCCAAGTTAAATTTTAGGAGTGATGTGGCCTTCAATCACATGCAGGTTTACTTAAAAAGCTCTCACAGAAGGGAGGCCAAAACCAGAAGTGCTGGCATCTATTACATTACATTAATTATACATGTTATCCCCCTCCTTATGAACACACACAGATATTTACACCCAGTACGAGCTGCCCCTCGGCATTAATTGTAAATAAATGGGAACCCGGGGCCGGGAGGGCCT